GAGCTGAAATTTTACGTGTGATCAGGCATTGTCATAAACCTTTTGTCTGGAAAATTTAACGAGCTATTATTATGTACGTTTAGGTGATATAATCGTTCGGATACTTATGACCGCTACTGTATATGTCTTACTAAGCGATGTATCACTGAAATTACTCGCTCATGCCCAAAACTTAGACATCTTGTGCTTGGCAACTGTTGGATTAGTAATAAAGCTGTCGAGGAAATAGCCCGCAACTGTAATAATTTGAAATATTTTAGTTTAGAAGGATGTAAAGGGATTAGCGAAGAAGAAACTCAATTCAAAAATTAAAATTAAACATCCAGATTATTCCGATGACGAATTCTCAGATTCTGATCTGCCCCCACTTATTTCAGATTATTCCGATGATGATTTCTCGGTTTCTTATCTACCTCCACTTATTCGAGATCCATAAGGGTATCTCGAAGAGTTATCTTTACCGGTGGACCTAATAGAATGGTTTTAACCAATACATTAAATGTAACAGATCTTATTTCTGCAATTGGCGTATCATCAGAATTGACTGATTTAGAACGAATTAATTTATTAAATAGTCTTGTTTAAGCCATTGATCAGGGATTGCATCGATCGTGGCAAGGGCTTTAGGAAGATAATTAATTATTAGTTATTTTTTTCGATTATAATATACACCATTAGCGGAGCAAGTACCAGAGGTGCTAAATATACTTAATATACGCATACACTGTTTAGTCGAAGGAAAAATTCCAGTTAAAGCATTAATAGATACAGTACATCGTCGAAGTTTAATACTATTAGCAAGAGGTTGTTCGATAAGCTTGAAGAAGATTATGGAATACGTGATCCTGCTGAGAATCTCTATTACTATGGGGGTGTAGTAGGTGTCCCTGTTGAGAATCTCTATAGAGATGTAATAGGTGAAATAAACTGTTTAGATTTGCAATTTCGGTATAAAGGAAAGTGGCGAAGCTTAGATGGCACCGAAGTAATAGACTTCCAAATTCGCAAAAATCCATCGTTCGATCTAGTGCTAGGACAAGATTGGTTATGGCAAAAATTATCTTTGGATTTTCTTCTAAAACATGTAGGCACCATGCTAAAATTGTAATAGATAATATGAGTATCCCATTAATCGAAGAAAATAGCAGGCCTTTAGGGACAACTCTTTGAGTCATAAAGCCAGCTCCACTAAAAATAACTCATCTAATTCGATGGACTTGAAACCC